CTCTGCCCACCCCCATATGAACCAAAATGCTTTATTTTATTAATTTTGAATCGGCCACCCTATTCAGGCTTACATAAATGCGTGTATAAAAGGGAAGCATATTTTATGATGTATGAATATGACCTCTAGTTATTGTTACAGATGTCTTTATCATTAACCTTGTTAAGTTTGACGTTTTTGCATCTGGAGAGCCAACGAAAACAGTTCTGTGGGCTTTTCGCAAAAGATTCCGCTTTCTTCGGCCCGAAGAGCTGTGGGCTTTGGATCAGCGGCCCACATTTAAATCTGAACAACAGTTTAAAAGTGTTGTGGTGCAGCAAAACACCGCCTGTTCAGACAAACCAAAGCAGCAAGAGAGTGACCTCCAACCACCTTTGGGAAGAGAGGAGTGCATGACCTGTCGGCCGAACCGCATGCTGTGATTTTGCATATCAAATTTCTCACATTGTACATCTGGAACATGATGCTGGTGGCTTTGGAAAGTCTAGATTAAGCCTGGATCTAGACTATATCATCGCTGACATATCTAAACCTTGTAATTTAACACTTTGTTATTAAATAAGAGTTTGATATAGAATGTAAACACTGGTATAGCTTCAAAATGTACCGTTTACTCCCCAGTACAGCAGTCCATATATGGAAATGAAGCTGCAAAACAGTCTGTTTTGAGTTTATTGTTTTGTGATATCATGAAATACCATTTATGTATATCCACGTACTTGGCCCCACCCATTCACATTGGAGTTATAAAGAGTTTTCAAAAGTTTCATGCTTTTTGAATGAAGCACAGCCAATCAGATGAGAACTAATTCACATATATTTTAGTCCTAAAGGCACATTAATAAAACAGCCTGTTTAATTCTAAGGGATAAAGAGAGGTTGGAAATGGTGCATAAACCCACATAAATGTCTTAAATTGGCCTCATGTAAAAAACACAGTAGCCACTTTTATATGCAGCCTGATAATCCGTTAATAATCTGCCTAATAGCTCAATCGGAATAGAATATGTCCATGTATACACCTCAGTCGGACTTGAACGAGGTGGGTAATCCTGTAAATAATCTGTTAAATAGAAGAATAATAACCGTGTAAACGCCTGTATCTGATTATATTCCCAGTCGGAAAGTTTAAGTCCGTTCTGATCATGTTCGTCACGTCATAGAGAAAGTTTATAACGTTCAACATGGCGGAGCAGAAACTGGTCTGCAGAGGAGAAGTTTATGCTCTGATCTTTAAAAGACGGCGTTGGGACGGACGTCCATCTTATGTGTCTCAGAAAACCCCGTCTTCCTCTTGGCCTTCTTTAATAAGGATATGTGAAGGACGTTTTGCTGAGTCTGACATCATTTTAAAGCAATTGAAAACACAAGCACAGCTCACTGCTGCTCGTGTTATTCTATGCATGCGTGTAATTTTGGATCTCTTTACTTGTAGTGAGCATGTAAACAGAGGTTTTCCATCAGATTGTTGAGTAGACAGCATATAAACACCTCCGTCTTAATCTATAATTGGAATGTATGCAATTGGATTGGCAAAAATCTTTGCATGTAAACACAAACACAAGCACTGATGAGTCAAACCGGGTGTTGGATGATGAACCAGGCTTCCTCGAGGAGAGGTCTAGAAATGGTTAAACAAACACAGTGACATAAAATCACTCCTTTTGACTTAATGTCATTTGTATTTATTGCAATATTAACCTTTGTCTAAGCAAGTAAACACTTTCCTCCCTGATAAATCTGCCTTTCAGTCTAATTTCTGTACATTGTATATATTGTGCATTAAACTTCACATTGACATGGGTAAATTATGTTCATATAGTATAAAAGCACATTTCACATAGAAAATATTTGTTGGCAGAGAGTTTAAGTTGATTGCTGTATAGTTGAGTCCTAACCTCTCATTATTCCCAGTGTTATGAGGTTTTAGTTTAACTGAATACGCCTCCCTGTGTCTGAGTTTCTTAATTTCTCAGAGGGAACATTAATGATATACACTCAATGAACTCTTAAGATGCCATCTTGAAAACCTAGAATTTTTTTTCTGTCTATCCTTACTTGGCACCTCTGTGTGATTCTTTGTTTATGCATGTATGAATGTGAGTAGTGAGAGAGAGAATTAAGAGGCACCTGCTGCTGTTATGGCATGTTTCCTGGCCAGCTTGGCACTGCCTGTGCCTGGGCATCACCCTGCTCTCCTCTCATTTCCCTTCTGGACCCAAGTCTTCATAGAAATGGTGTGGAAAAAGGATCTCTGCATTAAAGATAACCCCACCTGTGATTATCATTAGCTGGAGGTGCAGTAAAGAACGCTAAATCCCTGTTTTAGTGTAACTTTCTTTTAATGAGCGGAAAATTAAACCCTTCAAATAAATTCCGAGAGTAGAGTTTTTCTATAATGACTTAAAAAGAGGCTCTTTGTAGAGGTGATCCATTCCAGCAGGATTTTAATGGCTGTGTTAACTGGAAGGTAGGCAGAATGTGAGTGTGTGTGGGTGTTTGTTCCATCTGTCCATTTGGGACAAGTGGAGGGGGGTTAACCTCACCTGGCTGGCTGCTGCTTCACACTTCCATGAACTCTCACTTTCTCTCACTCATTTGCACTTCCTTTCTGCTCTTTTATGCTCTTTTTTTAAGCGTATATTGTTTATTTGTAGCACAGTCTCTCATCTTCTACCCTGAGATGAGAACTTTCAGGAGGGAATATCTGGTAGAATATTAAAAAGGGCACCACCCTGGAGCTGATTGACCCCTAATTAGCACAGTGTGAACTGAACAGCACCAAGTCTTGTTGTTAACTACCTAGCCTACATGTCATGTCGTTCTGTACTTGGCATCTGCCCCGTATTAGAAACTCCAGGTCAAAGCTGGTTTCTCTAAGGGGAAAATTAATAGCAATTTTGAAAATTGCCACTTTCACGCCCTGTGGTACGCTAAACTGTTTCAAACCCAGTATGTTTTGCCATGAGTGTGTTTTTCCTTAGAACGTTGCCTGGTTCTTGGAATTACATGGTTACAAAGGAGTTGAAATATGACTGTTGGTACATGCAAGGTAACACTGAACAGCACCCAAACGTGTCATTACTTCCTAGCTAACAATAGACCTCAGAAGTCATGTTGTAATTTTGTAGTCACCATCATGCCCATATTAGGAACTCAGGCTCTGGTCTGGTTTCTCTACGGGAAAAATCAAGGACATTTTCAAAAATTGCTGCTGGGGCTCCTGAGTGGAACAACCGTTTAAGTGTTGGCCCTATAATCAGGAGATCACAAGTTCAATCTCTGGTGATGCTACAGCCTCCCGTGAGAGCACAATTGGCCTCGCTTTCTCTGTGTGGGTAGGATGGCCCCCGTCTCCCCCATCACTCAACAAATTAGCTGACGTAACAGAACTGGTGGTTAGTGTTCTCCTCCGAGCATGTTCAGCTGTCCAACGACGTTGTGTTAGTAGCAGTTTAAAAAGATGCAGTGGCACTTCACAGGTCTCGGAGAAGGCTAGTGTTTGCCTTTATCCTTCTAGTGCTGTTGGTATCGTGTGATTGGGGGAGTCCTAACTAGTGGGTGGAATTGGATACGACTAAACTGGGGAGAAAATTGGAAAAAATTCCCCAAAAAAGCTGCTGCATGTTTAAAAAAATAATATATATATATTTTGCCGTACAAATATTCTTACCCCAAATGTCAGTGGATCCAGTGATTTACAAGGTCTAGAAAGAGCCAAAATATGACTGTAAATACAATATCTCACCAAAATACCTCATTCACACTAGCAAGGTTTGTCAAACATGGTAGCTGAGTTGCTTTGGCAGCAGTAGCCTACAGTTGGAGTAGCTGGTGTTGGAATATAATGGCGTTTAAACCTAGTAGTGGACTTATTTTCATTGTCATTTTAATGCGCAGGAGTGGTAGTTTACTTGAAGCATGTATGTAGCATCATTTGTATTTCAACTCCTTATTGACCTTGTATTTCAGAGGATCCAGTGACATTCTGGGGAATAATGTATGTAGACCTAAATGTACCTGGTTTGGAACTGTTTTGTTTACCACAGGGAGTAATAGAGGCAATTTTTCAAACAGCATTCATTTCTTCCGTAGACAAATGTGCTTAAACCCAGAGTTCCTAGTTATGGGTGTGCATTTTGACATGTGATTGTCCATAAGAGTTGATACAGATGTTAACCAAACTACACCAAAAATGGGAAATGGCTGAAATTAATGTAGGGCTGTGGCTTTTTAGGTGGCAGCACTGATGTTGCACAAAAATTTGATATCATGCAGAGGAATACATTTCAGAACATTTTTCATTATTCGAAAATAGACAAGGGAAATCGAAAGGTTTTCATGTCGGATGAGTAATACAGCAGACACTGTGTCAGATGAGGTAATGAGCTAAAACTACACTCTAAAATGGCTCTATATAGTACCAAAAAAGGGTTACTTGGCTTGTAACAATGGTGGAACCCTTTTTGGTGCTATATAGAACCCTTTTCATGATGCTGAGAACCATTTAAGCATGCAAAAGGTAGCAATGCATAACACAGGACACACAATAAACATCACGTAGTTGCTGATGATAACCATATTATGTTATGAATTTATCTCAGTTATGGGTTCCAAACTTTCAATCGATAACACATTTGTGTCATGAATAGAATAAGTATTTTTGTGATTTGAATTTAGTGGAAAGTTTGTGTTGTGTGGCGTCTTGGTTTAGGGAAAGAAAAACAAAGTCCTTCATAGTTTTGCCTTGTTTACCATTGTTTGACACGGAAACCAACTGTGTAAAAGTCAGAAGTGCAGAGTCCAACCCAGAGACATAGCGAATGGAAATCTAACATAAATGTAATTAATGATGTTGTTAATTATGCATTAATGTCATGTTTAAAGTAGTGTAGCAAAATGGCAGTAATAACCCCAGACTAACTAAAGTTAACTAAAGGGACCAAATGGACTGAATGAACTGACGCTGACCTCCTCCTCTCTCCTCTCTCCCCCTGCAGCTGGAGTCAGAGCTGGAGCAGTGCGAGAAGGAGAGCGCCGAGCTGCAGGAGTACGCCAACTCCGTCCTGCAGCAGATCGCAGACCACTGCCCCGACATCCTGGAGCAGGTGGTCAATGCACTGGAAGAGTCATGCTGACCGCAGCAGGCCCCTACCCTGACCAGCTCTTGTGGAAAAAAAAAACTTCTCACCAAAGCCAAATCTGCCTCCTCTCACTGGCTCTTCTTTTAACTACCCACTACGTCTAAAAAGCTCAAGGACACCAGCACGCGTCCACAAACACCCCTCCAAACTGCAGACAGGAAGGACAGGAAGCGGCCGAGTGTAAAGGGGGAGAGCATCCGCTCACAGAAGTGCATGCGACTGCTGAATAGCCCTCAGGGGGATCAGCATCAGCACCTGGACCGGAATCTTCTCCTCACTCTGTCCGTCACCACCCACTCTTTTCATCCTGTCCTTGCTTTCATCTGCTGGTTTACCCTAAGTGTTTACAGCTTATTTACACGCGTAAACACATGGAGGAAGAGGCTTAGATAAACAGGATTAGGTGCAGTATTAAAGGGGAAGCCCATTAACTAGCAGTATATCACAAAATTTGCCCCCAGCGTTTGCTCTTGCCTGACGATGTGCTCTCTCTGGGCTTAACCAGCCACAGGCCTCATAAATCTGCGCATATGGTGGAAAGCTTACAGACATGGGATCGTTTTTGCAAAATTTCACATGTTCTTCTTCTTCTTTTTCTACATTTCTTGATGTCACTCTATTTTGGATCTGTTATGGTGAGGAGTCATTAGCAGTCAGTCAAAGCCGTTTGAATTCGTCCTGATTTTAAATAGGTGCTCCAGTAGGGCTGCGTGATTTGGCAAAAATATGTAATTGCAATTTTTTGACCAACATTGTGATTGTGATTTTAATGTGATTGTAATCTAGCAAGACGTCCAGCACATCCATTGCTTTGGACTTGAGGCTTGAACGCTGACTAAATTGTCCCAATGAAAAAACAACATTATCATTGATTATTGTAGGCTATAATTGAAATTGTCAAATTGACGGCCTTTGTGATTTGAAAATTGCACTCTTGCAAATGGCTATTTTGAGATAAAACCAGTTACTGAAATATCATTAAGTTACAAGTTCTTTAGACACTTCAGGTCACACTCAGCTACCAGTTCCTGCCCTTATTTTCCGTAGACGTCCTTTGCTTTTTACAGTTACAGAAGGGATGATGTGGATAATGTTCATATTTTTGATTAAATGTCTGTCTACAAGAGCAGGGAGTTACCTTTTTTGTAGTTTTATTGCTGCTACCATTTGTCTCTGTCATGGTTGAGCTTTGTATTGTATTTGAGGACGGCTGTAATATTGGAGAGGTACAGAAGGTGTATCATCATTGACGTGACCATCAGCGGCTCACAAAAGCTCACTTCACTAACTAGCAGTGTCTTCATATCACCTGACGTGGGTAAATTATGTTCATATAGTATAACAGGACACTTCACATAGGAATCGGGGGTTGGCAGAGGGTTTTGTTGATGGTTGTATAATATTTGCATAGTTGCCAGAGCAAGGGCTCCGGCAAACTGATATAAGCAGTAAAGACGTGTTTGTTCCATTGCTCTCTCACCTCACAGTGGTGCCGGGTTATTGTGAGTCTGGTTGTTGTGGGATGTGATGTCGCTATCACTGAGATTATCCCTGTTTTCTTTCCCTCTCTTAAACTCAGACCCCTCTATTACCACATGGATCTCAGTTTATGACTATATGAGCGTCTATCTGTAGGCCAAGGGTGTCCATCTTGTGGAGCTCCGGACATCAGCGTGATAAGACGTAACCTTGTTCAACTCATAATAAAAATTGCCTCATGACCTGCATAGTTTTGCCATCGCTTTAAAGTCCAGAGTTGATTGCTTCCCTGTGGATGACACTAGGCGTTGCCCTCTGTTCTCTCCCTCCCTTCCTTTATCCTTTCTTCTCTCACATCTTCCCTCCCTCGTTTCTGACCATGCGGCTTATAGCTGTAGATGTGCTGTTACTCATCCACTTCTCTGCTGTGATAAGATGGGCAAGTGCGAAATAATCTGTTATCTTTGCAAGTCTCTTTCTGTCTATCTCGCATGCACACACAGTTGTGCCACCAAACGCAAATGCACATTTAAGTACTATTCAGATGGGATTAGTTGTATTGGGAGGTGGGCTAATGTAATTTTTACCATAATGTCTAAGTGATTATATCCTGTCATTTTTGCACTCGCACATCAGTAACGATTCTGGCACCTTTCAAAACAAACTGTACAATAACCCCCTTGCTGTAAAATAAGCAGCAGAAATAACCCCAGGTTATATTAATCCCATGCTATAAAACAAACCATATAAATTATTTTTACCCCATGATATAAAATGAACCGTTTAAATAGCCCCAAGTTATATTAATCCCATGCTATAAAACTATCATACAAATAACCTCAGGTTATATTAATCCCATGCTATAAAGCAAACCAAAGAGAAAACCCCAGATTATATTAATCCTGTCCTATAAAACTACCGTACCAATCACCTCAGGTTATATTAATCCTATGCTATAAAACGAACCGTAGAAATAATCCCAGGTTATGTTAAGCCCATGCTATAAAACGAACCATGGAAATAACCCCAAATTATTTTCACCCCATGCTATAAAATGAACTGTATAAATAACCCCAGGTTATGTTAATCCCGTCCTATAAAACTACAAATAACCTCAGGTTATATCAATTCCATACTATAAAACAAACTGGAAAAATAACCCTAGGTTATATTAATCCTGTGCTATAAAACTGCCATACAAATAACCCCAGGTTATGTTAATCCCGTGCTATAAAACTACCATACAAATAACCCCAGGTTATGTTAATCCCATGCTATAAAACTACCATACAAATAACCCCAGGTTATGTTAATCCCGTGCTCTAAAATGAAGCATAGAAATAACCCCAAATTATTTTAACCCCATTCTATAAAACAATCCATAGAAATAACCCTAAATTATTTTAACCCCATTCTATAAAACAATCCATAGAAATAACCCTAAATTATTTTAACCCCATTCTATAAAACAATCCATAGAAATAACCCTAAATTATTTTAACCCCATTCTATAAAACAATCCATAGAAATAACCCCAGGTTGTGTTAATCCTGTGCTGTAAAACTACCATACAAATAACCCCAGGTTACATTTATTCTGTGCTATAAAACGAACCATAGAAGTAACATAACTCAAAGAATTGTTTACTTTAGTTCTCTGTGCCTCAGATCAGGCTGATGTGTGTTATCCTACCTCAAGCGTATGACTCCAAACATTAAAACATTTAAACTGTCAGAAAAAAGATGGTTTTATGCGCTGCTGATGTCTGTTGTAAATCCCCAGGCTAATGACCGTGCTAGTTGCATTGCCTTGAGGCAGCTAGATAGATGGTTAGGGTAAACTAAATAACAGCTATGCTTTGACATGTTTTCTACTCTTTTTTGGGAGTGAAGTCAGTGCGTAAATCACGCTCTCATCCTTGTAACTTATCCCGTGTGAATTGGTCATAAACATTTCAGACGTCCTATGGTAAAATTACATTACCCCACCTCCCTATGGGAAACTAATCCCATGCTAATAGTACTCAGGACAGATAAAAGAGAAGACAGACTCGTTGTGCCAGACATTAAGACTGGACCGAAAGTCTACAGCATTTCTTTTGCCATTGACATTGTAGTGTAAATTGTCAGAAGCTGTGAGCCGTTCCATACTATGATTAGTATATTTGATGATCCAAAGGGCAGTGAGATCACTGTTGTGCCAGTGTTTAATGGTGTGGTGTGTGTGTGTGGCCATAGTCCCTCTTTTTATATTGGCAATATCAGGGAAACGCCCATTCGCGTGCCATTCTCACCCTTGGCACCAGAGATGTTATTACGGGGACTACATGGCATGTCCATAAATGTTTATCCGATTGTTTTATTGTCATAATCACTCCTGATAGGGTTCCTAAGCAAGGCCATGCGTCCTGGTCCGTCCTGAGAGATCTCTGCTAAGCTACGCTGCCTCTCTTGCTCTCTCATACTGTACGTAGTTCTTCTGACTGTCTCTTCCACACGTATACAGAGATTTGGCTTGGCACCCTCAGGTCTCTGAAATATGGGGCTCAGTTATCAAGGCTGTGGCTGAATATCCAAGCTTAGACTAAACACAGGCCTCTCACACACATGCTTACTCTTGCACGTGCACACACACACACACACACACACACTCTGAAGATTTCTGAGCTTCGCTTTAGGGGCCAAGCTTTTAACGCCGCTCTCCCTGCCTCCGTTCAACTCAGAATACCTCAGAGAATCCATAAACAAGACAAATATGCAGTGATAACCAGGAACAGATCAGAGAGGAAGAGAGAAGAACTCTGTCTGTCTGTGTGTCCATCAATCCATATGTCAGAGGTAGTGATTCTCGCTGTCTTTCTTGCTCTGGTATTCGTGTGATTGCTGGTTATGGGCAGAGCTAATCACACAGGGGAACGGAGCAGTGTGGAAATTCCCTGCAGGCTTTGGATGACTCGCTTGGTGGGGAGTCTCCTGAGGAGCAAACATCTTCTCCGTGGTTTCCGTGGCACACTGTCCCAAAACAAACTTTCTCTCACTGTACTCCGGTCGTCACACTTTTCTGTCTTTAAGCTCTGTGTTGTCGCTGTGTGATCGATAGTGGAAGACTTTTTTATATATATATAAAGCCTTTCCTCTGTTAGTTTTACCTGTTGCACTTTAAAGAAATTATAGAACTTATAATAGATGCCTTTGGACAGTTGCTGAATGTCGTTAATGAAATAGCAAAGCTGCCAGTATTCAAGGGGAATTCTGTCAATTTTTCAAAATATCTTAATTGTTGAAATGTAAAAGTCAGTCAGTGTGGTTTGATATGAAATGCTTCACTGCAGAGAAATTTACTGACTTCTTTAAAGTGGTAGTGAATCTACACGTGTTCTCAGTAATAATGGTAAATCCAAAAAAAATTTGAGGACTATTTTGCCTTACAACGCCCTGCATGTACCTCTCTGCCATGAATGGATTTAAAAGTCCTACAGAAATTTCTCTGGTTTCTTTTGGCATTTATGCAGTTATTTCATATAATAACTTTAGGTCGGGGAGCTTTTAGAGCCATTAAACTCTTCAGACGTCTGGTTCCTATCACCACCACTGTGTATATTTCTCTAAAACATCAAACCACCGTGAATGACTTTGTTTAAACAATTGAATTATGTGAAAAAAATGTGGAAAAAAAGGTGGATTTCCTGTTTAAATTTTAGCTAACTTTCCAACACAGGATCGACACTGTAAAAAGCATTTCTGGTTGTGTTTACTTTACTCAAGGTTTTCTTGTATCAATGCACGAACAAACTTGTTTATTACCCCAATTTATTCTACTAGAAATTAGTCCCATCTCTGAATTTCTCTTATACAAATGTACATGCCTAAGTTATACAGTCATAAGCAAAAGACTTGTCAGTTGACATGTCTTGTTGATTTTCTGAGTTAAAATTGAACACATCCTCTTCAGAGAACACACTTCTGCACATTTTAATGCACATTTACAGCTTATCTTCTCAATTTAACATATTAAGGAGCAAAAAAACACAAAATATGGCCTGTGCAAAAGTTATGACACATTTTATATTTTATGCTTTATTTTTTCCCCAGTATGTTGAACTTTTTTCACTTAGAAAATCAACCACACATTAATTTGACTGGGAATGTTTAAACTTTTGCATGCAACTGTAAACCGTTGACTGAGGAACTCATGGGTGTTCTGCAAAAGTACGTTTGCTTATAGAATTCAGCAGCTGCTCATTGGCTTCTGTTATGTTTTTTGCAAGTTAGCAGGTTTTTCTGCTCTTCAGGGTCTGAATTATCGTCCATGGTAATTGTATATATGCTACAGATGCAGCTTATAGAGAGTCTGGAAAGTCAGTTTGGACATGAGTGATGGTGATTAATCTCACCGTAGCTTGCTGGCGGATGGAGGTTTGGGAGGGTGCACATGGAGACAGCCTTTGTGTTTTTTATTGCTCTGCCAACCCCACTTTTATACTCACATTTCACTGTGTACATTTCCTTTATCTATGAGCGTGTTCTTTATTGGGTTGAACGTCAGGGCATTCTGGCTGGCAGGATTAGAACTCACGAAAACATAATTATTGCATGTTTCCTCACTCACTGAACTTTAACCTAGTTGTATGTCCTGAATAGGTGACGCACAGATCTTCTGGTGCGTCCGTGTGGGCTGTGCCGGAGGGTCAGCGCTGGCCTTTGAGCATTTGATTTATTCGGTATCGCCTCCGAGTACAGATTAGAGGTGCTTCAGACAGCTGCGAGAACACTGCCAGAAATCTTGGCCTGGACCCGTTTCAAGTGCACATGCACACATTTACACATATCTGTATTTATATACGAGTTGATAGATGGAGATAGATGTAATTGAACTCAGAGTTTTTGCACAGAGGGGGAGGGAAGATATCCATCTGAACAAAATGGCCACCGTTTGCCTGATGTCTTTAAATGAGAAACTAACGTGTCTCTGAAATACAGTTTTAAGTGTCAAATCAAAAGCTGTTAACACAAAGATTCTTGAAATCGTTACTGTGTGGTTGATAATGTACTGTTGCTATGTACTCAGATATTTTGGTTCTTACTCTTCTTACATTTATGGTTTCTTTTCTTTTTTTCTTTTTTTTGTTTTTTTTTTGCAGCCTGTGTGACTCGGATTGCGACGTGCGTGTTTTTCTATCAGCGATGTGCAAAATCCTTGTTCTGGGGTTGGAGGTGTCCCTCCGTGACTGCGCGCTCCAAAGTGCTCGCGATGATTCCGAGACCGTTACTTACAGACTGTGATCGCGTCGTTCCGTCAACAGCAGCTCTCGCGGATCAAGTCGTCTTAGGTCGGCTTTGTTCAGCTGCGGCCATCCGAATCATCGTTTGTTTCCCGCGTTTGTTTACCGAGGTTTAGAAAGACACTCATATTTTATGATCTCAAGTGGAGCTCCATTAAATAGTTTACTTATTCACTCGTCTTCAATCGTCATTATTTACCCGAGCGCTCGGTCGACACGTCCACATTCTTCATGTGCTCCGTTTGATGGGTCGAGACTGTTTACGGGACGAAACCACATTAAACATCTGCTGAAGGATCGGGCCAGTTTATGTCTGACTTCGCTGTTTTAGTCTGAACGAATCGGTGCCAAGTGATGTTAGTCTGTGCTGTAATGTGCCACTGTTAAAGCCTGCTCGTCCGTCAGCAGCCCAAGCTTAACCAAAACCACCCCAGTCGTCTGTTACATTTATAGTGTGTTACTTGTGCTCGAGTCGTGCAGTGAAAGAGTCAAACCAAAGACGTGCAGAGTCTAGTGTTCTCTCACCAGTCGGACTGTGTTGGGTGTCTTTTTCTAATGCTAACGTTGCGATAGGGCTCGTTTTTATGGCGTACAGTAGAGTTGCATTGTAAACATGGACCTAATCTCACACTACTGTACAGTCTATAGGAGAAGAATCTCACGCACAAATAATAATAATAATAAGGAATAATCTCAGTAGTATTGTTTGCTCGACTGTTAAAAAAGTGAGTTTCACCGTGTCAATATTACAAAACCTGCCTCTTGGTGAGAGGTTAAAATAATCCTGTCTTTTTAAAGGGGATGTTTGGCTTCAGGTGTTTGTCAGAGCTGTCGATCACTGCATTCAGGTTCCCATAGATTTCCATAGGATCAGCTTTCATTCTCTTTCTTCAGGACCCCAGGAAACCCTGCCTTCTGCCACAGCGCGAGTCCATCTTTTCTACAAACTCCTGCTATTTTCTACAGCACGCTAAGGCACAGTCACGGAGGGTGCTCACCCCGTCCACTTTAATTCAATAAGGAAAAAGACATATAAAAAAATAATAATAAAAGAATAAAGTTCAGTTACCAACCTGGTTTTCTTTTCTTTCTTTTTTGTTGTTATGTTCAAGTTCAAGAAAACTTACTGCCTTTTCTCCGTTTGTGAGAACGCTGGAGATTTCTTTAAAAATGCTAACAGAGAAAAAAGGCATATTGTATTCTTCTTTTGCCTTTGTATATAAATAAACACTTCATTATCAGCCTTGTCACTCTGTGTCTTTTGTTGTTTCTGTTGTTGTGAGGTTGCCATACCAGCACATAAACACTGATACACAAATTCACATTGCAGATTATGGCCTTGGAGTCATCAGGGTCCTCGCTGTCCTCCCCTCAGTGATCTATCTTCATATTAGTCCCTTATGTGGGACCCTTTCTCTACATTTAACCTTTATCAGCCTACATTTGTACCTATTTGCTGTAGAATTTAAAAGTTTGTAAATACATAATTAATTACATAGTTATTATATAGTAATATATAATATATAGTTATTATGTAGTAGTAATGAATTACATTATATTCAGTATATATTCTGTGTTAAATGTAGTTGATAATTGGGATCAGTTAGACTAGACACACTCAGGATTGATTACTACCAGCCCTAGTGAATCTAAACATCACATAAATAGAACCTTTCCAGGAATGTGAAGTAGACTAAGAGGCCTCAACAAGCAGCACACTTTGCAGCAATCAAAAGAAATTCCAGAAGAGATGAGAAAGAAAGTAGCTGAACTAAATCGGCATTTGTAAAGGACTCCAACAAACCACAGCCGTAATCTCTAAACGGTGAGTGGTGAATTTTCCCAGATGTGGCCAGCCTTCCATAATATCTCCAAGAGCGCAGCGAAGACTCATCCTGGAAGTCATAAAAGAACACAGATGAACATCTAAGGAACTGCAGGCCTCGCTCACCTCCGACAAGGTCAGCGTTCATGAGTCCACCATTAGAAAGAGACTGGACTAACATGGTCTCCATGGGAAAGTTGCAAGGTAAAGACACTGCTAACAAAGAAGAACATGAAAGCTCGTCTCATGTTTGGCAGAAAGCACCCTCATGACCCCTGAGACTTTTGGTCTAATATTCTGTGGACTAATGAGTCGAAAGTGGAACTTTTTGGAAGACAGTGGGGTAACATTTTATTTGGATAGTCCACTTTAAATACTTTGTAGATACTTAATTTACTTTAAAGTTACATTAAGCTAAATATCTACTAAATTGACCATAATTTATTTTCTTTAACTCTAAACCTGCTCTAATCCTGACCCTAAGCTTTAACCTCAACCCAAAACCTAAACCCAATCCTCACCCTGGTCCAAATCCTAATCCTAACCCCACCACTGTTTAGAAGTGTTTCAACAGATAGTTTGTTAACAATTTGATCATCTGTAGATAATCTGTAGAGGACTATAGTGGACTATCCTAATAAAGTGAGACAGACAGTGGTCCTGTTACATCTGGCATAAAGCTGGTGCAGTATTCCACAATAAGAAGCATACCAGCAGTTATACATGGTGGTGGTGGAGTGATGGTGTGGGGTGTTTTGCTGTTTCAGGGCCTGGATCACTTGCCATAATTGACAGGAATGGAAATTCCACTCTGTCAGAACTTTGTTCATCAGTCCATGATCTGAAGCTCATAGTTGGCTTATGGAGCAAGACAATGTCCACCTCTGAAAGGCTTAAGAAACAACATTAAGGTTTTGGAGTGACCTAGTCAAAGTTCTGACCTGAACCCCTTTGAGATGCTGTGGCTGGACCTTAAATGGGCAGTACACGCTCGAAAGCCCTCCAGTGTGGCTGAACTAAAGCAGTTCTGCAAAGAAGAGTGAGCCAGAGTTCCTCCGGTTCAAGGCAGAGTTTGGTTGCTGTTGCAGCGATTGAGTAATACAGGTGTTGCAAAACTCAACTACACTAAATGAAAGGATGATTCAATGTTCTGCGTAAGTTTTCTATCAGGATCTGAAACTATTTAGTGATACAAATATAGAAAAATGGAAAAACTTGAGAATTCACATTTCCAGCATACTGTGCGGACCTCCTATTGCTAGATCAGCCACTGATAATACGGCACCAGTACAGCCACCCACTGCAGCCTTCATATCAGTGAACTCATCTCGCGTTGTATTATATACCATGTAGTAAATCACTGCACTGATAACAAGACCGGCGTTTAGCACAGGACTGTATTACACTCAACATCTCTCTGATATTTGTGCCAAGACCAGGATGAAGAGGCACAGCAGTCTGAGGGAAAATACCCAGAGAAGGTAATGCCTGCCTGCACTACAGGACCTTTAGAGTCCTAGCCCATGTTGAAAACATAAGACCCCACACAATGATGGATTCACTGATTTTTTTATTTTATTTTTTTTTTTGTTAGTTGTCCTTCATTCATCAAACCCCCCCCAAAACTATAAAATTTACCCAGAACAGACCACCCCACACTTTCAGATTATGTTAATGAAAAAGCAGCTTGATTAACGGCCGCGTCTCGCCAAACTTTGCAGAATTTAATGTGAACAAGCCTGACTTTAGATCAAATGGCAACAAGACACAGATGACGCTACTAGGAGTCGTCCTTTGTAGATGATTAATAAACTCTCAAGAGATTATCAGTAACACATCAACAACATATCAGTGAAGTAGCTGTAGTGAAGCATCTGAATACACTGAAGTAAATATCTTGTAGATGTTTTGTTGATACATTACTTACATTAAGTAGATGTGTTGTTAATATGTTACTTACATTACGCAAAACCTAACCTTACCAACCTTACCCAACACCTAACCCTCACCCTGGGCCTAATCTTAACCCTAATCTTAACCTCAACCCAAAACCTAACCCTAACCCTGGTCCTGATCCTAACACTAACTTTAACATCAACCCAAATCCTAATCATAACCCTGGCCCTAATCCTAACCTTAACATAAACCAAAATCCTAATCCTAATCCTAACCCTCATATGTTTTTGACATGTTACTGAGAGTCTGTTGAGTGTTTGTTTCATTTAAGATGGGCCTCTCAAAATTAAGTGTCACCTTCATTTTTCCTCCCCAATTCAGCAAATAAACAGTATCTGTGTTTTGAAATGTGCAGATGTGTGTTCTCTATAGAGGACATCTGACTTATTTACACATAGAAAACCATCCAAATGTGTCATTTGACTGGGGTGCACAAACCTTTGCACATGACTGTATGTTGGAGGAACATCACTGCAAACAAACAGAATCTTTTGGATGAACTAGACGTCGGTAAACGTGCTGTGCTGGCAAAGTGACTTCACTGTAAAATAGTTCTGAAACTTTTTAAAAATCACTGCTTGCTTTCACACTTTAAACCCGTCTACAAATAAGAGTAACATTCAGAAATGCGTTTGTGCTGCTTTACCAGGTTTGTGGTCGCCCTGCTTTTCTAAAACATAGCAGGACCCTCTAAAGCCGCTGTTCCAGTGCAGCACAGCCCCCTGCAGAGCCCCAGCGCTCAGAGGCCTGAGCCGGTCTTGTTGCATGCGGGTAATGATAGAGACACAAAGGGAGGCCCGAGTTCTGTCGCCGCCTCTCAGATCTGCGTCCTGCAGATCCCAGATGCCCACACTAACCATGTGCTGATTGGCATCCAGCGTGGCCCCGCAGAGCGCCGTAGCCCAACAGGAGTGGACCGTAGAGCTCTTTCTGTTTAAAGTGTGTGTATATATAGCAGCGCATTTCTGCATCTGGTTTCCGCAGAGCGAGAGAGGATAAGGAGGACCGTGTGTGGGCGTGGAAATGATGTGGTTTCAGCCGTGGCAGCCAAAAACTCACTGATTGCGAGAAAGGAGGGAGGAGAAAAAGGAAAAAAAGAGACCCCAAAATAACGGTCTGTCCATAGGAACGATGGAAAAGCTTTGCTTCTCTGAGCTCCTTCACATCACTGACTGCAGAAATGCCATGAGGAAAACAGGCCCTCATGAACGTGGGAGATTATATGAGCTGGTCTACATGATTTGGAGCTGCTGTTGTGATTTGAATGTTCACAAAGTTGACAGTGGTCATACAACTCGCTTGCTTAACGGACGTTTTTTTTCTTTCCTTAAACAAAGGAAGCCTTTGAGAAAAGCGGGGTTTCAAACGGTCGTGCATTGGAAAAGATTGTCGAATGGCATTTCTCTGCAGTGATCAAAGCAAGGGGCTAATCAGTAGGGACCAGTCAAAAGACGCAGATTTTTGTGTAAAGCTGCTTTGCAGCAACACCTGTTGTAAAAAGCGCTATATAAATAAACTTTGACATGCCTTGAAAGGTTTCTTTTCAGAATGCATTCAATATTTTCTGTTGTCGGGACAAAAACATGTATTTCCATTTTTTAGTTTTTGACATAACTTGGAAAAGGCCAGTTGCTCTTTATGATGTGTCAAAATTTCATGATGAACGGACCAACAGAAATGGCCCACAATTACATGGAAAAAATATTTATCCATTTACTTCCATTAAAAGTTAAAAACGTTTTTCCTCGCCCTGTAAAGTTACCTGTTTGGAGATACAAGGTTTTGTTCCGACAGCAGTGGTTTGTAAATGTTGAACAGAATGAATGTTCTTTTTTGTTGGTTTAAAATTTTAAGGCATCTTAGTTCACAGCCCTCAAGTACAGTTAAGTGAGTTAATTTGCCTTAAAATTGTACGTTAACCCAACTTTTCTTTTACACTGTACACTGTTGAGAGTGGGCTTCACTCATACAAGCTCTCATACAAGAAATATCAATGATGTACTGTATAAGATTTTTATCAAAGCTGAACAAAGGGGCATTAGTCTTACTGAGAAAAATACATTAACATATGGTGTCCATATTTGTGAGTCTCCCTGTAAAGCCTGACATAATCTAAAAGTCAGAGGCATCAGGTTGGATTTAGCATTATTTCGGACCACGTCACACATCTTTATGTATTAATGTTGATGCTTCAGTCTCAAATGCAAAATCAACATTATTCACTCTCAGAAAAAAGGTACTAAACTGTCACTGGGGCAGTTCCCCTATTGTCACTGGGGTGGTTCCCTCAAGGGTACATATCAGTACCTTTAGTCAGGGTCATAACTTTAGTCTTTAGTCATAATTGAACCATAATCCACTGAAATGATATTTTCTAAGCTGTACTGACTCCACACACCCCGTCTCGTCTCCAGGCTTTTATTTTATTGATCTGTTTTAAAACATTCGGTTATTAAAAGATACAAATATGACCTTTTCACCTGGAAAAACATAAAGGTTCACAATCAGACCTTAAAACCACTGTTGTACCTTTGAGGCACATTTACACTGTTTGTACCTTGACGAACAAAAAATGTACCTGCACAGAACCTTTATTTCTAACAGTGTACTGATGAGGATATAATGATAATAGTACAGGAAGATTCACTCGAAAGAGGCCCCAAATATTCTGTAATAACTCTCACTAGGAGATCACTTCCGGCATCGCATGTAATGCAATCGATTACACATACGTCAAGGTATGTAGTGTATTTTTTTGGTTCACATTTCTTCATCCTAACAGGAGTTACAACAGAATATTCAGAGCCTCTTTCGAGTGAATCTCCCTGAAGATAATTCACTCACATCCTTAGAAGACGCGTCGTTCTCCATGTTTTGACTGAGTTCTCTTTAAATTCTCTTTCATTCAGCAGATTCATCCACTCAGGGAAGGGGGCCAAAGCACAACCCACCTCACAAAATGTTTTTCCACACGTTGTGTGCAATTATACGTTTCCACCAGAGAGGACTCCAAATCCCCAAATCTTACACAGTGTAGCTTTAATACCACCTTTATAAGAGAAATGAAAGGCGATATGTGAGCTGTTATCCCTCTCAAGCCTTTTCTTATCACAAATGCACATATAGTGTTCCGGGATGAAGTCAGAGCAGCTGTCTTCCCACCACGCTGTAGATTTACGAGATTACAAAGATCTAGACGGCTAATTACAAGGCCATTACCACACACACTCAACTGACACACGGCAGAAGAGAGCTGCAGAGTCATAACAGCGTTACAGGCTCTGACAGGCTCTGGAGGATGAACTTACCTGGAGCTACACACAGCTGAGACAGAGCAGCAGAAACCGCCTCACAGGAACAATTGTCTGTCCTCATCAAAGATGAAGAGCAGCAGATTCCACTGAGGGGAAGCAGAGACTCGACTCGCTCTGGAAAAGCAGAGACATTAATGACTGCAGGCCTTACAGCTTCTGAGTGAAGCAGTTTGTACAGGAGATGTTAGCAGAGGTGCTAGTTACGTTTATTATACAGTTACAAGAACCTGCGTCTCCAAAATAGCAACAGGAGACGAAAACATTCTGAACTTCTCATGTAAGTTAATGTAAAGAGACTTTATTCCAGTGACTTTGGAGCATTTCTATTGGTCCATTCACTATGAAATATTCACACAGTGTGAAGGACAGCTGCGGTCAAATGATGCACAAAAATAAAAATAGGAAAAAATGGAGATACTTTTTTTGTTGTTGTTTTTTTTTTTTTTTGAGTGACAATATACAGTCATATGCAAAAGTTTGGGCGCCCCTGGTCAAATTACATGTTAATACACCCTCCACAGTGAACACTCTTCTGCACATTTTAATGCACGATTATAGTCTATTTGCTGAATTTAACTAACTGGAAAAAAAATAAAACATAAAATCTGTCTTTGGCTCATTTTATGGCATTTTTGTGTCTTTGGCTGTTTTATGTTGCGGCACATTATATATTTTTTTGTTTTATATTGCCCTGCGATGGACTGGTGACCTGCCCAAGGTGTTTCCTGCCTTCTGCCTAATGACTGCTGGGATACGCTCCAGCTCCCCCCGCGACCCAGCAGGATAAGCAGCTTAGATGGTGTGTGTGTGTGTGTGTGTTTGTGAGTGTGTGTGAGAGTGTGTGTGAGAGTGTGTGTGTGTGTGTGTTTATTAAGTTTTTACCATTATTTAAAGTCACCAGCTGAATAGAAATTGTGCGCTGAAGTTTGCAGAAAAATATCATATCTAAGTGAATTCTCTGTAGATGATGTGTTAACTTCACTTAAAAAATCAACAAAACATAAATTGACCTGGGGTGTTCAAACTTTCATACTTAAGTAAAGTTTTGTTGGATTTGTGCTTTTCTGATCATTTTAATTGACTTTACCTTTTCCGCTACTGAGATGTATATGAGACATAACATACCTTGTATATTGTATTTATAGTATCGTGTGTGTGTGTATATAATATATATATATATATATATATATATATATATGTATATATACATACATGTATATATTGTTCATAGATACGTCATATTTATGCCTGTTATTGTACATTTGCACTGTCCATTTTGCACTATTGCTACTATTTGCACTTCTGGTAGATGTTTACTGCATTTCGTTGCCTTTTACTTGTACTGAACAATGACAAAGTTGAATCAATCTAACTGTCTATATATTAGTGAGGTATTAGGAGATCGTTTTTTACTCAGTTACATTTTAGCCCTTTACATTTAGCTCTGTGGGTTGAAGATCTGGTCTGATTCACTGCTGCACCTCTCGCTTTCAATCTTTAGTGCTTTATTTTAGACCAAATAGGTCCAAAAAGAGAAGAAGAGCGTAACACACTTCAGTTCCAGTGCTGATAGACGCTGGAAGCACTGAGAGATTCCTATGCAGTTCTGCAGGGAACTCGGTTCTTTTTCTAAACTCGTTTGTTTACTCAAGTTGTTGAGTCATTAGACTAAAACTGTGAGTTTGAGAGTTTTTAAAGAAACTAAACTCGTATCCACGACCATCTGTGAAGCTAAATGTTCTACGATCTAAACCTTGACCGTCAAGTATTAATGAATGATAAAGGTCAAAAGGTGCACGCAGGACACTGTCCATGCATAGCTCTCATAATGCGTTTCTAAGTGTGTGTGGTTATGAATGAGCTCTCACCTCCTCAGTGTGTAATAGACTTGGATGTGCTTGTGCATTCCCTGCTGCAGTAGTGGGGAGGAGAGATCTGAACGGAGCTGCAGATGTCAGATATGGAGAGGAAGTGACGGATCAGACTGACTCGTGCGCTGTGACTCACAGGTGAGTGGACAGTCTGACCCGTCTGCCCGTCTACACCTGTTAAGGTGATCCGGTTGCCAAAAGCAAACTCTGGCTGATAGAGCGCTGCTACTGAGAGCTTTATTATCAACATCGCCCTGTTGATTCACTCTCTGTACGTGCCTGTCCACTGCAGCCCAGCTGGAGTCAGAATTCTGTCAGCTCAGAACAGCAAATCAGCTGTTTCCTTTTTATTTTTTAGGGTGTTTGTTTGCTTATTTGTTAAGCAAAGGAAATAAATCTACATATTTATTACAATATATGTGAAGCTTGTAGTATATATACATTTTGCCGCTGTCAGAACAAAACTTGTAGCTCAAAAATGAGAATTTCACAGGAGAAAGAAAAAACACACTTTACTTTTAATGTAAGTCAATGGAACCAGACTTTTTTCCAAGTCATTTTGAGCCATTTCTTTAGTCCATTCATCATGAAATTTACACACAGTGTAAAGGGCAACAGGCATTTTCAGATTATGTCAAAAACTGAAAAACGACAAAAATGGAGATTCGAGGTTTTGTTCCGACAGCAGCCATCAGTTTCTGGCATACATGTAAATATTAAAAACTGACACTCTATGTTATCCACATGCGTCATATGGTTCAATACACTGACATATGTTGGCATATATGTACATATTTAACCCCTTAAAATCTCTATAAACCCTTAAAAGGGTTATTACATACTAAGGTACTATTCGGTAACTACAGGGACTTCAGTGCAAACTAGTTGAGCTATTCTTAGGTTATAGAAGCTTGTAATAAAACTTTGGGCCTGCTGGTGGGACCTGCCCATTTAAGGGGTTAAAATGGTGCATTTAAGTATATTTAGCATATTGTCACTGTCCAAAGACAAATAGCATCCCCATAAAGGTAAGTTTACAGGAGAAGGCAAAACGCTCTTTACTTTCAATGGAAGTTAATGCAAAATGATTTTATTCCAAGCAATTTTGGGTCATTTCTTTTGGTCCATTCATCATGAAATTTACACACAATGTAAAGAGCAACAGGTATTTTCAAATTATGTCAAAAACTGTAAACCAACAAAAATGGAGATATGAGGTTTTGTTCTGACCACAGTGATATATTTCTGACATACATGTCAATATTAAAACTGACACTGTATGTAATCCACGTGTGCATATAGTTCAAAATACTGACATATTGGCATATATTTACATATTTAACCCCTTAAAATCTCAGGGTTATTACATATTAAGGCTAATTATTCAGTAACTACAGGGACTTCAGTGTAAACTGGCTGAGCTGTTCTTAGGTTATAGAGGAGTGTAATTAAATGTTGGGCCTGCCCCAAACTTTCTTTACTTTCAATGGAAGTTAATGCAAAATGATTTTATTCCAAGCAATTTTGGAGCATTTCTGTCGGTCCATTCATCAAAGGTAAAGGGCAGCTAGTTTATTTAAACAATGCTGTAAAGTGAAAATTGAAAAAACGCAGACCTGTTTTGTTTTCAGTGCCGATGTACATTTTATTTACATTTTATATCTCATATGTGGTGTGTACAATTTTACTATGAGCAAATATAAGTACATATATTTGTCTTCCATTTGTTGCTTGTTTGGTGTTTTTTTGTTCTTAGAATTACATTTTTAAGTGCTTTGTTTTCGCAGTGCTACATACTCAGAAATGTTTATTTCCATGTAATAATATAGTAATAAAAAAGTTATTTTTTTAACTTTGTCATAAAGGTGAACAGCTTCTGATACATTTGCAAACTATGGAATCCAATAAGAATGCGCGTTCACGCGGCTCCAGTACTGATCCAAACGTGAATGCGCGTTCACGCGGCTCCAGTACTGATCTAAACGGGAATGCGCGCTCCAGTGCCGAGTCGAGTGGGTATGCGCGCTCCCGCTCGTGCCTCTTTCCCTCCCCCGAGAAGAGGGCAGGCCTGAGAGTGTAAAGCCCCGCACATACTCCTCCAAACCCCCCATTCACTGCGAGAGCGAGACAGCTCCGCACGCGCAGATCTCTTTGTAACACAGTTCGGCGCGTGTAAGAAGGGCTTCTCTGGTTCGCGTCTGGAGAGAAAACTTTGGGAAACAGACGAGAAGAGAAACTTTTCGGAACCCTCCATCAGACTCTGACCCCCCCCCCGTCCCTCCCACCCCCTCACACCCCTCTCCGCGCGCTGTCTGCGCTTAAAGGCGGATAAAAGACTCACAGCGTTTCGTTCCCACCTGTTGCGTTCTGCCGAGAGCACTTCGAGGAAAGTTGTGGAACTCTGGAGGGAACAGCAGCGCAGAGATCAGCCAGAGATCAGCTGAAGATCAGCCGGCTTTGTTCTCAGCGCGGCGAGAGGAGCGCGCGCTCTCCGCAGAGAGAACCAGAACCAGCTCCTGGAGGAGAAGAGAGGATTTTGTTTGATCTGAAGTGGAATTTGTACACTTTTTTCCCTCCTCACGAGACGCTCCAACTCGCGTGCTGCTGGCCGAGAGCAGAGAAGTGACTCGCGGAACATCTCGAAGGGCAGCTCGAGCTCCAGCTCCGGGAGAAAGTTTTGGAAAGTTTGGACGGAACAGCTACGAACAAGTAAGATGAGCTGCAGCGGCTCGCGCTGACTTCACTCTCCGATTTCTCTGCTTTAAGAGCTCTGAGTACTTTCAGAAAGTTTGCTGGGTGTAGTTCATGCTCTGTGCTCGAGGTTCTCCCAAAGGTTCTACACTTTAACACGTAGTCCAGGTTCAGGTTCTCCTAATCACATCAGCTGTGCTTCATGTGCTGGGATTCTACTATGTTTCTCCAGCTGGAGTCACAGAGGTTTGCTGTGTTGAGTGAGTTCAGTGCGGACAGTCAGAGCTAATGCAGGTATTAGCTGAGCTACAGTGAGCGGCTGCTCTTTGGAGAACACCAAGGCCAAGTGTGGACAGAGTTTAGGACAAATGCTGCTCCTTTTACAGGGTCAGATGAGCTACATCTGAAAAGCCTTGAGCTCATAATGACCCATCAATGTTATTATTAAATAACCGAGTCTCATTTCTGGCGTAAATAAATGAATAGTGTAGCTGTTCGGCTCCAAATTGAGTCAATTCTGAAAGTCTCTCATTCACTCTTTAGTCTACAGGTGGTTTATTGTGATTCTGTCTGCTCCAGTCATTAAGAAGCTTCTGATTTCCTTAGGTTGGTCAGATTGATTCTGTCTTGGTGAGATTTAGGGAAAAGTTTGGATTGTTTAAAGTGCATCACGCTCATTCTTTTGCTGTAAATCTGTCCCGCTCAGCGGTCAGGCTGCAAGGAACTGGACGAAGTCCCTGAAAGTTTGCGGCTGTCCCAATACTATATACCACTGCTCTTATAATCCTGTTCTCATAACTTTTTGTTGTCTTTTTCACTTTTCTTGCTTGGGTTTAATCACCACCATATTTAAATGTGACGTTCCTGCATTATTTGTTATGTTGAAAATTATATCTATTAGATTTGTGTAATTTATTTATCAGGCAAAAGTCACTTGGTGTGAACTGGTAGGTGAGTTTATTGGCCTGAAAGGCCTGTACGAGTCTACACTCTCCAAAAAAAGGTACTAAACCACCACTGGAGTGGCATCGCTCACATCACCGGGGTGGTATTCCCAAGGGGACGTTCAGTACCTATAGTTAGGAAACATAACTGTACGACATTCTACTGTAATTCTATATTTTTAAGGTGCATTGACACCGTATACACTGTTAGAAATAAAGTTGCTGTGCTGGTACATTTTTCGTTCTTCAAGGTACAAACAGTGTAAATGTACCTCAAAGGTACAACAGTGGTTTTAAGGTCTGACTGTGAACCTTAAATAAGTTTTTCCAGGTGAAAAGTTCGTATTTGTACCTTTTCATAACCGAATGTTTTAAAACAGAACAGTAAAATAAAAGCCTGGAGACGAGACGGGGTGTGTGGAGTCAGTACAGCTTAGAACATATCATTTCAGTGGATTATGGTTCAGTTATGTACCCTGACTAAAGGTACTGAGATGTACCCTTGAGGGAACCACCCCAGTGACACTTTAGTACCTTTATTTTCGAGATTGCAATGATTAGCAAACGATACATCATCCAGCTCTGCTGTCAGAGCTCAGACACTCAACACAAGCAAGTAAAACTGACTGCACATCTACAGAAGTACAGAACACCTAAAACAGCTTACAACATCTGCCATGGATTAAAAGCGACATATACTATCAGAAAAAAGGTACATTTGTTTTCATCAAAGGGCAAACAATGTAAATATGCTCAGAAAGGTACGGCAAAGGTCCAGCTGTGTACCTTAAATAAGTTTTTCAGGGGAAAGGTACACATCTTTTCATAATCTCAATTAATCTTCATAATAAAGGTACTAAACTGTCACTGGGGCAGTGCCCCTCTTGTCACTGGGGTGGTTCCCTCAAGGGTCCATCTCAGTACCTTTAGTCAGGGAACATAACTGAACCATAATCCACTGAAATGCTATTTTCTAAGCTGTACTGACTCCACACACCCCGTCTCGTCTCCAGGCTTTTATTTTACTGTTCTGTTTTAAAACATTCTGTTATGAAAAGGTGCAAATACGAACTTTTCACCTGGAAAAACTTATTTCAGGTTCACAGTTGGACCTTAAAACCACTGTTGTACCTTTGAGGGAACATTTACATTGTTTGTACCTTTACGAATGTAAAATTTACCTGCACAGAACCTTTATTTGTAACAATGTACTATGATATTGGCCTTTGTGATCGTGAAATTGCATACAAATGAGCCTTGTAACTCAATTTTTACTGTACCAGTTACAGTTCCAGATGAGTTTCTTGCAAGCCAATCCTTAATCATGTCACTTTATTAATTCACCAATGCATTTTTAATGTACGCCAAGTACATCCAAGTAATGTCTAGCAATACCGAAATGCTGTCCATATCGTACGGCAGTAGCTGCCAGTCCTCATTACAGGATACACGCTGTGAATGCGTGTCTGCGGGGTGTAATGTAGAAGTGTGTGAGCACATTGTTAGACCCCGTCCACACACACTGTCTTGAGGCCCCTCAGCCACTGCCACTCTTAAGACTCCTTCTTAAAAGTGTACACAAGGTTAAGAGGGGCTGTGACAGTGTTAGGAACAGAGTTATGAAGGAATCCTGACCTTCACTTTGCTGCTTTTAGGGATTTGGTATTCCATTCACTCGTCTAACCGCCACACCACCCCACTCTGCAGAGTGGCTCCTCCTGACCTTCAGGTCCACTTCCCATTCCTGACTGACAGCTGACAGCCTCCACCTTGTGTCCGTCTGGAGATTTGACTTTTCCTGCTTGTCTGTTTGAGTTGTAGGCTGATGCCCAGTACCGACCACCTCAGTGGACAGTCATATGTCAGTCTAGCTGGTATTAGAGCAGAAGTTATGTCATATCATTAGAAGAACAAATGTGGAACAATAGAATTGTGTTCTCTGTTCTCCCGTTCTCTACTGAGAACATGCTTCTGCACATTATAATTATTGCTTGCCTGCTGAATTTTATATATTAGGGGAAAAACCACAAAACATAAAATGTGTCCTGAGCAAAATTTATGGCATATATATATATATATATATATATATATATATATATATATATATATATATATATATATATATATACTTTTTTTTATTATTTATTTATTTATTTTTTGCAATTAAACTAAGCAAATAAAAAAAAAAATTGTGCTCTAGGAAATTGCCAAAAATGCAATATTTAAGTGTGTTCCCTGCAGAGGATGCATTAACTTTTTTTTTTGCTTATTTTCACAGTCAACAAAACCTGATTTAAACTTTCACATATGACTAAGTCAGTAAAAGGAAGACTTTGAGGTAGTAGAATATGTGAAATGACAGTCAGATTTAACAGCAAAGGATCACTTGCAGCACCTGCTCACAGTTCAGACATGAAGACAGAAAACCAATGTGCTAATACATGATCAGTGTATTGTGGTCACTGAGTGATTTCCAGTGATGAACTAGAAGCAAAATCCTTGCCTCAAATGTGCATGTTCATATAAATAAAATGCATTTCAACACTGAACCCTTAACCCTCTACTGCACACGTTATGAGAGCAGTTTTTTTAAAAAAATATTCAGTTCACTTTTCTTGCATGAAGTGGACCTGATTATTAAATTCAAAAACATTTTTAAATAATGATGTGTGCAGCGGTCGGTGTATGTTGCCTTGAGGCAACATTGTGCAACAATGGGAAGAAATGATATTGAGCTGTGTTCTCTGAAGTGGTGAGACTCCATTCCACTGTCGCAAAATGTTGCTTCTAGGCAACAAACATATTTCTGTGAATTGTCATAAAAACAAATGATACTGAATGTTAAGTGAATGTTAAAGTGTCCACTAAGAGACAGTCTGACCAAGTACATGCTTGTTATTGACTCAAACTCTGCCCTTTATTGTTAACCCTGTCATTGTTGTTAAATATGTATAAAGTTATTGTAAAGTGAGGAAAATGGGTTTGTTGCCCTGAAGCAACGTTGTTCAACTGAGGATTAAAAGAATAGAGGGTTCTTTGCCACAGAAGAACCATATTTGGTTCCCTAAAGAAAATCTTTCCATAGATGGTTCTTTAAAGAATCATTTTTTTTGTAATTGAGATGTGAGTGTGGAGAACCTTTTTGAAGTTTAAAGAACCTCCTTTTAATGTAAATGTTCTTGGAGAAGAACCTTTACATGATGTGAAAGTTCTTCTCACTCACAGAGCTCTTTTTCTAATATTGTTCTTTACAGAATAAAAAGTGATCCTTCTGTGGCATCACACAAAGTTTGTGGCACCTTTTTATTAAGATTGTATTGTTACCAAACGTAAGTAAAATGAAAGACACAATTGTGTTGCTATTTTAATATATATTATTAAATCAGTCATTAAGTCAATACATCACTTTTTTCAGTGCACAGTACTGTGCAAAAGTCAGAAACCATGCTTCATTAATCTGATTTCCTGTCAAAACAACCATTAAGTACAAGCAATTCATTTTTCTATATATATTTCAGAGGAGATTTGATATAATTCACTTGCATAAGGAAGGAGAAAGACAACCCAGAGTAGGTGAAAAAATAAGAGTTCCCAAAACAGGGGTTAAAAATGATTAAACGCTACAGAGAAAATGGGGCTCCTAACAACCACCTGGAAGACCTTGTCGACACCAAAACTGCCCCCATCAGATAAACAGCACTTAAAGCTTTCATCTTTGAGAGAGAGGAGAAAATCAAGCTGCTTCAGATCTGAAAACATCCACAGGTGTTTCTGTCCATCCTTCCACTGTGAGAAGACGACTCAGCGCTATGGGTCTGAAAGGATGTGTAGCTGTCAAGAAGAACCTCACTGAGAAAAGGAGACGGACACATAAAACAAAGAAGCTGAACAATGGACTGACCACCCCCGAGTCCAGACCTCAACACCACTGAATGTGTTTGGATAAGGTGGATCATAAGATGCAGAAAACGCAAGCAACTTCTGAAAATGAGTCTCCTGAAAAGAATGAAAGACCTGATAGACCACCAAAGAGTGGACACACTGAATACTGGAAAAATTTATATTATATTTACT